AATGCCTTTTAATTGAGCCAGCAATTTATTTACATGGCAGCACGATTTCCTAACGACATAGAAATACTGACATTTCCAGATGTATACCTTACACCTTACTCTTCCCCACTGCACTGCCCCACACACTCACACTTAGTTTGACTGAAAGCTAGTTAGAAGAGTCTCAGAAATATCCTATTGCTTTATGTGTAGGCGAAACCTCAAATCAATAAGGGGAGAAAGCCCATGTCATACACATAAAAGGGGAGAGGAGAGCCTCCAGATATATAACAATCCCCTGGGTACCACCAATTAATTTATGCATTAGAGGTTTGGAGAGCATTCTCCTTAAAAGAGAGAGAGATGTAAGACGGCTCATAAGGGATCCCCAGTGTATTAGGCCTGAGAGGAGGAGTTCTATATTTGGATGGTAAAAGGAAGTGAATTAGCAATTTGGATTGGCATAAGAAAGAACAGTGCTGGCTTGGAGAAATCCCCAGTGCTAGTAGGGATGCTTCATTCAGTCGTTCAGTGTTAGTCAGTAACAATACCAATAGCATAGTTAGACTTTGCTCCTTTACACTAGCCATTTTGTTTCTCTCGCGGTGTTTTCTTCTATGTGTTTGCTTTAAGTATTATCTCCTTCCACTGCTTCCATCTTTCCATTCCTCACCGAGCCTTTCACTGATGCCTGCCTGATAAAAGGCTCCACATCTGATATTAACCTAAAACTTCCTTGATCCCTTAAAGTGAGTTATTCATTAACAGAAACTAAGTTACTGGCTGTTAGGCAAATCTTCTAATTCTTGCAAACCACTGATCTGCTCAGGGAAGCTTCTCTAAATCTACTGTAGAAATAAGTGAAGCTTTGTGCCAATTGTCCGCGCTAAGCAGAAGGTTGGGGGAGAGAGAAGTTAGTTGTTTGCCCGATCCCACACGGCGAGTCCGGCGGAGGGAATCAAGTGTACAGCCAGCTGGCTTGACGAGAAGCTGCCAACAGGACAGGACGGGGCAGGAAGGGGCAGGGGCTACCCGGCTGCCTGCCTCTGAGCTCCATCATGGGTGCCAGCCGAATTACTCTAAAGTCACGCATTTTGCCTTCTATTTCTTATGATGGCCAGAGTTTCCTGTGCTAAGAGGTACGGCTATCTTTTTCCCTGTCCTTTTGTTCAGCAAAAACAAAAGCTAATTAAAGTAAATGTCAGAAGCTGCAGTGATGAAGGAGTGGGCTGTGGGAGTGGGGCAGAGAAACTTCCAGGGGCTGGCTGATTATGCAGATGAAGCACATTGGGGAGTTGTGCGTCTAGCCCTGTATGCAGGCTTTTCGGTTATTAGGGTAAAAAAGCCACCTCTCTGTGGGTTATTAAAACATGTCTCTAGGCCTCAGGAGCAGAAAATTGTGCTTCTAGATTCATAGTATGTGCATTTTTGTTTTACTCCAAAACTGTCTGGGCTCATTTCTGTTTCACACTTTTGTTTACCTCAAGAAATATCTTGCAACCTGCAACGAGAATGGCCTTGCCTATGATTTTCAAAGAAAATGCAACAGCATCATTCCAGGCAGTGGGTTGAGGAGGTGCCATTACTGTTTATTGTTGCTCTCATTTTTCCTTTTGATAGTTTAGTTATCTTACAAATCGTAGTTGAATCGAACTATTTTTTTGCTCTTTCAAATACATATGTAAGTTGCTATAGTAATCAACTATTGGATTCCATGACATTGTAAACTGAAATGTGGAGGTTTTCAATTTAAGGAACAGAAAAAATACCTAAGGCATTATTTGAACTGGTCAATGCAGATGCTTAATATATGGAATTTAAATGTAAATAAAGACATGTTAAACATTGAATTTTCTTTGTAATTTGAGAGTTTGGGTATGTTTTCTGGAAAAAGAAACCTACAAAATTTGAGTTAAAAAATTTTAGCAAGATTTATGTTGATTATTAATTTTTATATTGACATAAGATTTAGTCAGTGTATACCAAGATTTATATCAATTAAGAAAAATATGACCTGCAAAGTCAAAATTTGTGAAAATGGATACACTGTGAAATCATTATTACAGATCACAAATTCTCGGTTAAGAAAGTTTGTTAGACTTGAAGATATTTCCCTCATTCCCAAAGAAAGAAAATATTTCCTGTCTGTATTTCAATAAATCGCAATAGGTATTCAAAATTAAATGTTTCTTGAGCTCTTGCCTAAACAGGTCACCAAACCTATTTTTTGTATGTGCTTATGATAATTAACCTGCTACAAATTTAGATTGTATGAATTCTAGAAAAATACCAAGGGCTGAGTCCTTTTGCATCGTTTGGAATAACCCAGCCTCGGAGGCTTTCAGGAGAAGTGAATGAAGCAACATGTCACAGCAGAGGAAACTGAGAGAGGCACAGGGAACAATAGACATCTTGTGGGAAGGGCTGAAATGTATGCAGCCAATTCCCATGGGAACGCCTGCGGCTCTTTCACACTGTGTGAAAAAGATGCTCCTTGAAAAGAATCTTTAATCCTTTCTTTCAAGGGAAAATCTGAGAACTTTATTGAAAGTTTCTAGAACCCAAACGGGTCTAAGTTAGTCAGTGGGCATTTATAATACAGGTGAATAAAATAAGATTTTGATGTGCAGTAGTGTTGTCCAAAACATAACGTAAATAAATTTTGCTGTTCTGGAATTTTCTAAAGTGAAGAAACCTGAGAATACCCTAACCCCACGTTGGAAGCTAGAGGCTAATTTTCTCAGAATAAGTTGGCTTTCTGACTTAATTATGTTTATTGAAATTCCCCCAAAGAGTTTCAACTTTTTCCACAGGTGGTATCCTAATAGTGGGGCAATTAAGTCCACTGGTTCATGTGTATTTTTATTTCATAGATCTACTGATGAATAATAGAGTAAACCAGCAATGTTTTATTAGTGCCCATTGAGTGCAGGTCGCCTTGAAAAGTCATAAAGAACTTTTCCCTCTGGTGCCCTGGAGGGAATTATACACTCCATTCTCACTAATAAATGTGGGAGTGAGCACTACACTTACACAGAAAACTCAGGTATTTGGATTATCCAGCCACAAAAAGTCTGAGATGCATTGTATTTCAAACCATTTCCACCCTAAAAAAAAAAAAAAATCCAGTTACTGTTTAGCCATGGGTGGGGGTAAGGCTCTCTCCAGGGAACAAGTTTGCCAAAAAATCAATAGGGACCCTTTCAAGATAGTGCATAAACTACCCAGATTTAAGTTTTGGCAGGGAGTACAGCTAGGGTATAAATATGACCCAGACAGAAAAGACCCATACATCTTTAACATGAGAACGCAGCGTTGGGCAGAAGGATAGCTCTTGAACGGGATGGCCTAAGGACATGGTAACAGGAAAATGATCTACAAGAATAATGACATCATTAGGGATATGATTGCTGTTAACTCTTGAGTGATTGCTATATGCTAGGTTCTATGTTGAATGCTTTATATAATCTCATTAAATCTCCCAACAGCCCACATCACAATCCTCAGGTACAAGTAAGGAACCTGAGGCTCAAGGAGGTTAATTCATTGGTCCTGATTTACACTGCAGGTAATGGCATAGCTGAGCCCAGTTGTGTCTGGGTTCCCACCTCTCACCACTCTGCTCTTACTGGGTTCCTAGAAAATGTCCAGGTCTGGACCCTATACTCCTTTAAAAATGTAAGAATAGTGGATAAAATCGAGCAATGAAGAAGAGGGAAGCCTAAAGAAATAGAGTCTGTTCCTTTAAAAGAGGAAACTGCATCACCATCTGTAAGCCAGAAAATTACCAATGAAAGGCTACACCTACTCATGGGTGACTGGATGCCCCATTTTTATAAAACAAACTCTTCAAAGGAATTCTCCATATGTGGATGGCATAAAAATGTGATCGATCATCAAATGTCTCGGAAGGTCATTCCCCTGGAGCATAGGACCTTGTTCAATGGCAGGTGTGTCGTCCCTCGGACCACAGGCCTTTGCAGGGTAGCACTCTTGGGATTCATATCGTCCTGATCACACAGATGAATTTGTCTGCAGCTCAGCTTCCTGTACATTTTGCCAGCAGATAGGTGGTTTGATGGGCAATAGACCCTCTATAAGGACAAATTAGAGGAAGAGAGTAGTACAATTGAAGAACATGTTTTCTTTAAGATTTATTTAAGAGAGTGCAGGTGCGAGAGGCAGAGAGAATCTCAAGCAGACTCCACGCCGAGCACGGAGCCCTACAAGCGAGATCACAACCCGAGATGAAACCAAGAGTCCAACGCTTAACCAACTGCACCCCCCAGGCGCCTCTATAAACATGTTCTCTTAATGCACCATTAATCGTTGACATCTTTAAGTGTTGAGAGTTTCAGGATCTTTTCCTCCTCTAGAGTGTCAGTAAGATGAAGCAAGACAAACATTTTCTCTGAGTGTCACTGCAATATTTAACATATCTGACTTAAAGTGCAAATCCAAGTGGATTTTTATGAAGAACCTCCCAGAAAATAGAGTGGAAAAAAAGAAGGTATGCATTTTGGTTTAGTGATTTGTTCGTATTAGTAGCAACTTCCTGCATCCTTAAATTTACAACAATATTAATCTAGAGGCAGAGCAAGAGGATCACTGCTTTAGGAGCTGTGACTCACAGGACAAACGCTCAGTGTTTCAAACTCTGGGTGTGAAATCTTGAGAGGGAGGGAAGCGTTCATGAAGCTGCAGTCCTCTCTTCCCCAGGCTTTGTGAAATGGGTCCCGATAGCCATTCCATTCACCTGCTGGAGTTTCTGTTGAAACTGTTTCCTGCGTGGCTTTTTCTTACCCCCCCCCCCCTATTCTTCCCAGGGAAAGTATAGATTTTCACGAACACAGGGGGTTTTGTGTTCTCTGTTAAAAACAACTTTACTTTACCGGGGCAGGCTTTCTGTTTCACCCCCGGAAACAAGAGCATTTCTCTGAGGCAACTCTCCGCTGGGTGAGGTGCAGCCTGTCACCTGACCAGTTCTGGAGCTGCCGGTGGCATTGGGCTGCATTCCTTGAATTCTTCCACCCGGCACCAGCAGCACAGCAATGAGCAACTTCAGGTTCACTGAGCTGAGTGGATTCCACTCGCTGTGCCCTCGGACGGAGTCCGCTGCTCGAATCTCCCACCCAGTCTCAAAACATACAGCTGATTAACAGCAAGCTGCCTGCCTTTGAAGAGTAGCACGCAGGTAAAGTCGGTTTGTGGGGACAGGCGTGGCGCATAATCATTTTTGTGTGTGGTGTCTGCTTCTCCTTGCAGAAACTTGACTTGTCAACCAATACCTGCTTAAAAAATAGATACTTATATTAAATAAGGAGAAAGCGGGCTTCAGATTAAGGTCCCTTAAGGATTAGGGAGAGAAATTAGGAGAGCAAAAGCTGGCAGTAAGAAGGAATTTTATAAGCCAGTTTTTGTAATTCCAAAAGTATGAACTTTGAGGCTGACCTATCTGGATGTGAATCTTGGCTCTGTGTGTAACCTTTGACGTGATGCCTCACCAGTCCTGTTTCCTCTTTGGTAATAATATCTACCTGCCAGGTTGATGGGAGAACAGAGAAGGAAGTATCTAGCAAAGAGCTTGGTGCATAGAAAGCATCTGAGATGCACACATATGTGCATTCGTGTGTGCTTGTGTGTATTCGGTGGGTGCATCTGTATATTTGGATATAGGCCACAGGACTATGGCATTCGTAAGGGTAGGGAGTTTCGCAGAGGATGAGGTTGAACTTTATCTGTCTCTGAACTTCTCTGCTGTTGCAGAGAGATCAGCCTGGGAAGCCAGACACCTGAGCAAAACATTGACTAGGGCTGCTGAAAAATAAATAACATGCCTTGCTGATCCTTATCCAGGAAGGGGAGGTATTATGTACCATGTGGGGTGCTCTTTACATGAAGACCGATGGAAGCAAGGCAGCCCAGTAATTATCACACATGGTCATGTATGCAACTGACAGGGCTTTGTTCTGGGAGACCAACTGCCTTCAGTTCTGACTCTGCAGCTTACTCTCTGGGTGTTCCTGGGCTGGTTACTTTCCTCTCCTCCGAACATCAGTTTCTCATCACATGGAATTGTCGTGAGAATTAAGTGACTCAGTGCTCAGGAAGCACTCATAGTAGTGCCTGCCACATGGGAAACACCTGCTAAACATTAGTTGTTGGTGTCATTATTTGACAAAGGGCCCTTTTATGTGTTATTAGCTTTGATCTTCAAAACAACCTGGTGAGGTAGACGAGGCATGCATTAGCCCCATTTTGCAAGTAAAGAAACTGAGGCTCAGAGAAGGGAAAAGCATGAACCAAAGGTCCAACAGCCATTGAGTGGCCAGGCTAGGCCCTGAACCTCAGTCTGCAGACCAGCAGCTGACTTAGTATATCTGCAGAATATGTGCACTGAATGAAACCTAATCCTAAAGTGTCTGGCCCGAACACCATTTCCTTAACAAAGGTATTCCTTAGCATCTTCCCCTAGGAGAGATCTTTCTTTCCCTTGTACTTCCCCAAACTTCCTTTTATAGGACAGAGGAGACTTTCTCTGGGTCATCCTTGTATTGTAGGATGTTTGGTGTAAGTCTCAGCTCTCCCTACCCCACCCTTCGAGGTGTGAAAGTTCTCACGGACAGCGGTGTTTTGAACAATACTGTTTTGTAATGATGGAAACTCAAGAGTAACAGCATGAATGTAGGGCTCCGTACCAGGGGTCACTGTAAGTGTGGAGAGCAAAGAAGGAGCCCAGGGAAAGCCTGTATTTCCACCAGCACATATTTCTGCTCATTCTTGGAGCTCCAGCCGCACTATGTCTGGGGCAGCTGACTCTGCTTCAGGAATGATGAGATATCGACCAATAAGCTGGCTGGTCAAGGTGAACTCATTGCCAATGTCCAACCAATGTCTTATTTTCCTGAATATTATTTCACTGAGACCCTGTCACTGCAAATGCCGGAGGCTAGGGGGGGAAATGTGTTCAGGGAAAATTCAGGAAAACACTGTCCTATTTTTCCTGTAGATACTGTATTCCACCCTTCTGCATTTGCAAGGGTGCGTTCTACTTTGTAGGACTCTTACTCTGCTCTCTCTCCACCCCCCAAAACTACCCCCCCCACCCCATCCCCAGCCAACTCTCCTGCTTTTCTTTTCCTCTAAGCTTCTCTTCCTTGTGACTTTCCTGCTGTCTTGTTGGCCTTAATCCCAGGGCATACATGGGCAAGAATGCAGGGTCCCTCCTTCCCTCAGTGTCAGAGGGAAGAGAAATTCCTTTTCATGCTTTATCACCCTACCCGTATCTTCATCTTCAAATGTTAATAATGCTCTGAGGGCTTTTACTCCTAACAGTAGCTGCACACGGAGCCCTACATGGAATCAACATACCATAGTGGTTGTGAACCTGGAGCCTAATCCTGGAATCTCTGGGTCCAAATCCCAGCTCTCCAGTTTGCTAGCTGTGTGGCTGGGGCAAGTTATTAATGCCTTGGTTCCTCACCAGTAAAATGGGGATGAAATATCCTCATATAGTTATCATGAGGGTTAAGTGAGTTAATGTTTGCAAAGCACCTAGGACAGAACCTGGAACAAAGGCAAGCATATGTAAGTATTGAGTGTCATTTTTCTAGAGCTGGTGGTTAGCACAAAAGTTTCATGTAGGTAATATTACCCTTGACACAACTTCAATGGCTACAAAATGCACTGATATCGCTTATTTAACTGAGTGCCTGGTGAAGGATTTGGCTTGTTGTGTGTGTGTGTTTTTTTTTAAAGATTTTATTTATTTATCTGAGAGAGAAAGAATGAGACAGAGAGAGCATGAGTGGGGGGAGAGTCAGAGGGAGAAGCAGACTCCCCGCCGAGTGGGGAGTCCGATGCGGGACTGGACCCTAGGACTCCAGGATCATGACCTGAGCTGAAGGCAGTCGCTTAACCAACTGAGCCCTCCAGGCGCCCAAATGGCTTGTGTTTAGAGACCACATTGCGTGGGGAGTATGTATCTTTAAGCTTTAATGTTGCATTCAGCACGCAGAGGTGCCTGCACAGTGACAGCTCAGAGGGGAGGTCTGAGATCACCTAAGGGAGCAGCAGACTCCCCTCTGCCTTTCACACTCATCCTGGAGAACACATTCCAAGTGAAATGCTGGGCAGAATTGCCCAGTGCTTAGATGCTTATATTAAATAAGTCATCCTCAGCTCTCACTCTCTGAACATGTGTCTGCATTTGTAAGTTACATGAGCTGACTCCACTTCATTGTAAACCAGGGAGGAAGCCCGCTGGCCTGAAATCAAGAGAACAGCACTGCTGTAGTTACCATGGAGCCTTTGGGAAGTCATTAAATAAATGATGGCTAAGGTCCCTACCAGTGCAAATGGTCTGTGATTTTATTAGGCCCATAAGGGAGCTGATGAGAAAAATCAGATATTTAATTTGTGCCATTGCCCTTCTCTCTGTGGACTGTTAATTGAGTAAGAAGTATAGTGGGACTTTATTATTTCAGTTGTGGGAATAGAGGGAAGACTGCCTGATCCCAATGCCTTCCCTCTTTAGCCTGCATTGCAGTGCTATCACTTTCAAGTTCAGTGTTCAAGCTCAAATTCACACTCACATTCAGCAGAGATCTATGTAGCCTCATACTCCCAGGCAGAATCCTATGTAGCCTCATACTTCCAGGCAGAATCCTTTCTTTAGAGAGTATATATGAATAAAGCAAGTATTCAGATCACCTATTGGACATAGGGTTGGGAGAGCTTCTGTTGTCAGTATAGGAAAGAAATCCAGCCAAGGAGGCAAGCACTGGTTTCCCTTTCCAGGAAAAAAGAGAAAACCAGGCAGTAGTTCTAAGAGATGTTTTCTGTGTTCCCTCTTTCCTTTCATTGCCCTTTTCTGTTTGGTTTCCATGGGAATCTGGGGGAAATCTGGTGAGTGTTGGGCATATCAGTTGCTCGTCCACTTGTTTCCTTGTGGCATGGAGAGAAGGGGAGGGATATAGAAAGGAGAAAGGTAAGTGTGAGGGTTAAGCAGCTTTTTAAGGTTCATAGTAAATTCTAGAGAAACCTAATAATTTTTTACAAGACCTTTAGGGGAAAAAAAAAAAACAAAACAAGGGAAGAGCTCATTTGAAGGTCATCAAGTCAGGATCTGTTACTCTATGCACATTTCCAAATGTCTTTTTCCCCCCTCTCTGCTGGGCATCAAGTTCATATTCTGAGCTCATGCCATTCTACTAGCAGTTTTATCCTATCATTTGTTTCTTTTCCAGGGAGAGTCAAAGAAGACCGCAAGTTCTGGAGAAAAATGACCTTTCAAGGAATACAAAGTATACTTCCTGCCGCATGTTTTTTGTCTTACTAACTCCTGATGACTGAAACATATGGTCCTGGGCCTGCAGAAAGTCCACTGATTATCAAACTCCTCATCATGCACCAACTGTTCAGACTGGTCTTAGGACAAAAAGATCTTTCACGAGCCGGGGACCTCTTCTCCTTAGATGACTCCGAGATTGAAGACAGCCTGACAGAAGCTTTGGAGCAAATTAAAATAATTAGCTCATCTTCAGTAAGTAAACTAGTTTTCAAACTAGACACCCGAAATGACCTATTCCAGAGCTGAATGACTGTACATATGTTGGGGGAAAGGATCTTTGCATGGGGAAAGAGGAAGGACCACTTAATACTGGTTCCTTTTAACCCAGCTCTGTTGTTTAGTTTGGCATCTAAGAAATAACACAAGGGCAATCATTGACTTAGGAGGGCAGCGGGCTGCTTCTGCCCACTCCTGGAGACCAGAACTCTGGAAATTTCAGACCAGAGTGGAATTATCACAAAAGGCTTATCTAAGGGCTGTTTTTCTATCCTTGAAATGACACGAAGAGGAGAGGGAGCAAATCCTGGGAAAAGCAGATGGGCCAGGCTATACAACAGCATCAGTAAACAAAGCAGGGTGTGTGGAGGAGGGTGAATAATGCAAGAAGGCAAGGTGACACCTCCTGACATACAGGTAATAGGAGACAAGGATCACTCTGTTGCCAGAAGTGACAGTTGCCCAAGGCTTGATAACACTGATTCTATGTATTTCTGTATAATCGCCATTAAAAAAAAATCTCTCATTTTACTCCTTTTTCTATACCCACCCATTTAATTCAACTCACCCATCATTAGCCCCCAGTGTGATCAGACAAATTTAAAATCCCCATCAACCCTCCCATTCCTTTGTTTCTCCTCAATGTCAAGATTATATATTCTGAAAGCACTTGCCAAAGCGGGTGGATGAGCATGCCCAGTGTGGTCTGCTTTTGCCCTTCTTCGTTGTGCTTGGACCCTACATGACATTAGTCCCATTTCAAAGGCCAACTCTCCTGGGCATCTCTTGCATCCTCCCAGCTCAATAGCGTTTGCTAACACTTGGCACCAACAGCCCGCCGGGCAGAGGAAAGAGACGGGACTTGAGCCATAAAATACTGAATTACCAAATGTGTGCACATTTCACAGATCACAGCTTTTTTCCATGTTTTAATGAAGAGATGTTTAAAAGGCATACCAGCAACCAGCGCAGCTTCCTCCCCAAGACAGTCAGCCTGCTCACTTATTGGCTGCCATGAACACACCATGCCCCCCGTGTGGCCAATGAAGTCATTGCCCAAACACTCTTTTCGCAGCTAATGTCTTTGACAGCAATTATGTGTCCACATTTTTTTTTCCCCCAGAATGTTAATCAGCTTAGTCTGACTCAAAACACAAAGTATTCCTGGTACATTTCCACTTTCCGGGCAGGATTTGTGTGCTATTTCCAGCAGCCCCATCCTTCACACTCTTGTGGAAACGAACTGGCTGAATATGCCACTGATTTTCATCTTATCTAATAGAAAAAAAAAAAAAAATATATATATATATATATAAGCTCCCTGAAGCCTATTTCCACTAGAGGTCACTACTGTCAGTGATTTCTTTAGTTTTCTTCATCAATTGCTTATTTTAACAGATGTCAAATTCAGAATTTTAGGACCGGTAAGTTTTGTTATATATCCCCACTCTTAACCATTCGGGCAGGCAGGTCCCTTGTCCCCAGGAGCACTGTCTGTCCTTTAAGGCCTCCGATCAGCATCCCACCAGACCAGCGGGGCTGGAGAGCTAGTGGTTCTCCTGCGGTCTTCACCTGCTAACTTCAGTCACCTCTCACTTCTTCCATTTCTCCACCTGTAACAGGGGCATGAGCAGATGGGTGGCAGAATAAAAAGAATTCGTTTTTAGAGGGATTAGGCAGATCAGTCCATTTTTCTGTTTGTTACTCAATCCTAGTTATAAGTATGTCTCAGTATGGAATTCCTTCTCCCGCTCCATTCCTTTTAAAGCCAGTTCAAGTTTCATTATTCCTGAAATGGCTTCTAGTGATTCTAGTTCTTAGTGATTACTTCTTTCTAAAAATACACAGTTGTCCTTTGGCATTACACTCTGTTCTTATAGAAAATCATCCATTCATATGACCTCCTCCAGGGCAACTTCTGCACCAGGGCATCCCAGATCTGTGTTTTCAGCCTTGGATCTCTCCCTCAGCCTCAAGCCCGTACCAGCTGATATCCATGATCTCGAAACGGAATCTGTCTGAATCGGAAGTTATCATCTCTCTTCCAGCTGTAATATCACTTTCTTAGACCTCCAGGTTCGCAACCTGGAGTCACTCTGGGCTTTTTCTCTCACTCTCTCCTTTGCCTGTTGTTCTGTGGACGCTGCCTGAGAAATGCCTCTTCACCGGCTCCTTTTCGCTTCCTGCTGCTATCCCCCTGGCTCAGGCCATCAAAACAGTTTTGATCTTCTTGCCTTTGGTCTTACTGTCCTCTGATTCAATGTACTAACAGTTACCTGATTAAACTTCCCAAAGAAGATTTTCTTGCATGTATCCCATTGCTCAAAACCTTTCCATGAAGCTTCAATGCCCATGACATTCAAATGACCGAGGCCAGTGATTAGTCCACTGAACGGCCACGTCTACTCTATGGCTCACTTCCCTGTTACCTGTACCCCATCTTTCCCTGATTAGGGCTTTCCTAATGACCCTGGATCTCAGTAATCAATTCTACTTCTCAATTCCTCTTTACAAACAAAAAAAGAACTGGAAGGGATCTTCTAAATCATCATTTCCGACTTCTTTCCAGCACAGAAATCCCTCCTTTAGGATTCCTGACAAACAGGTGACCTCTCTTTCTACTCTTGCAATGATGAGAACATAGTAAGTTTCTGATATTTTTTTTTCCTGCTCCTCAATTTTCCTTTTATAAATTTCCCCTTGCCATTTCATGAAGCCTCCTCGATGGACCCTTCAGTCAGTTTTCTACCTTGTCCTTGCCAGGAGAGCAGAGAGGGAAAAAGTGGGGGCACCTGACTATGCCAATCAGACCTTCTTTCCTGGTAGTTCTAGAGAAAAGTCAGCAGAGGGTTGTCATGGCGATGGTGCTCCAAAGAGATAGTCCTTTGTTACGGTTATCCCAACGTTTTCTGTTGCTTATCACCAATCCTAACCTACAAAGAGACCATTGCTGCACTGTCAGAATTTTAAATTGTTAGTGTGCTCCTCCTTTCAGCCAGATGAAATCTTACTCTTTGTATTTTCTATACATTGTTCTTTGGTCTGTTCATTGCCCCAACAATCAAAAGAGCGTAACTCTATTCCTATAAGAACTTTAAACATATGAAAATAGGTATCAGGGATCGCCTCTAGCTTCTCTCTTCTCAGCTACACATCCTCAGGGTCCTAGTGTCCGCACGCTTTTCCATGACAAAGAAGGAGCCTATGGCAGAGAAAGGTTACACTACCTCACTTTTCCAGACTTAGGTCTGGAAGCTCAATTTTGTCAGTACATGACAAATGCTATCCTAGTGATGCTATCCAAAGGCAAGACTGAGTGCTGGTTTACCTATTTACAATGCAAATTATAATTCAAGTCAGTCAGAATTTGTGTGCTTCCATCCAGTCCTCACCAAGTCTATTTATCCAGTCTTTCTCTAGACAATGGATGCTACCATTGATTAGGTTTCCTCCTCTATTAAAATCACATCCAGTCCTATCTCCCTATATATAACTCACCTGTAGTCATGCGTGTACAGATAGCATGCTGGATTAGCCCAGTAGCTGGCTAATCCCCCTCATTCGAGTGGATTTTTTTTCACTTAATCCTCAAAGGGCAATCTTATTTCCATATTCTTGGAGGACGTCCCATTGTAGCTCCCAAGTACTGCCTACACTCTCAACATTCTGGTTTCTTTCCCCTGGAATCTTCCTAATTCATTATTGTAATTTATCAAGGCCAAGTACTGAAACCAACTGCTTGGAACAATTGCTGATAATAGTCAGATACTCTGTTTCTAAAATGCCTTTTCGACAGTAACATCACACAATTGGCCACATTTATCCTGCCGAGTACCGGAACCCTCAGTTTGAGTCAAGACTTGTAATTAGAGAACTTGAGAAATAAATTGTATGTGTATTGTGTCACATTTTAAACCAGTGTAATAATATTCTTGTCTTCATGCCCTCATTCCAGGATATTCATACCTTTTAAGAATTGTGATTCTGTCCAATATATTAGTTCTCATTCCCGTCTTTGTAGAATCTGAAAATTTAGCAAGCAAGTCTTCAGTCCTTTTCCTGAAGTGACTCACCCAATCACTGAACCTTCCTAGATTCCATTCTACGGTCCACGCCCTCTTTTCAACTAGTTAGTCCAGAACACTGCTGGGAGGTAGTTGGTCCTCATGCTTTGCTTTGAAAATGCGACTGCTCACTCAGAATTCTCTCCAAGTTCCCCAGTGTGCCTTTAAGTTTTGTCTTTTCATGTCAAGTCCTTTCTGGACTACTTCCCTCTCCTACCCGTTTCTTCTACTACCTTGGGTCTCCTCCCAGACCACTTCACCCCTGTCCACCCATGCTCCTTTCCCACTCCTCCTTCCCCACCACGTTCCCTTTCCCTAACCCATACACCCACCTTCCAGTTCTCTTTACTGTTTTTTAAAAACCAATAAAAAATGGTAGGCATACACCAATTGCCCAGTTTTAAAAATTAGAATCGAAATCACCTGAATGTTTCTCTCTGCTTCAAATCTCCTCCCTTTCCTCCCTAAGTAACCAATATCCTGACTATGGTATTTATCCATGAATGTTTTATTTCTTTGCTACACGTGCATAGCTCAAACATTATTTGTAGCATTGTAGTCCATGTTTTTAAATTTTATATAAATGGTATCATAAGTTTCAATATAATGTTTCTGAGGTTTATGAGGGTACAGGTAGTCCCAATTCATTTCTTTTTTGAGGGATGGGAGTGTTCCACTCCATGACTAGGCCTCAGTTTGGTTATCCATTCTTCTTTTGATGGCCATTTACTACTTAAACAGTGTTATAGTGACCAAACATTCTTATAATCAGTGTTTTCGGCAAATGTGCTAGTTCTAGCAAAGACAACTAGGAGTGAAACCACGTTTTTGGGGTTTTATATACTTCCCGGTTTCTGATATGCCACCAAATTTCTCTCCGCTATAGTTGTACCTACTTACACTCCCATCAGC